GCCCATCCTAGCGATAACAACCCCATACTCCTGCAACAAAACTTAGCCTACCCTCTCCTTGAGTTCCCTAAGACACAAGTCCCTTGGTTCGAGTCCCGGGCAACCCATTACAATTAGCATATGGAAATCGTGTGTATGTAAATCCAAATTTTTTAATTCATTTCCAAGCCACCCACACATAATAGATGAAAAACAGAAAATTATAGCCCATCTCTATGAAAATTCATGTTTCCGGGCTCGATCCTACCATGCTAGATGAATTAGAACCTTCCTTTTTTCCCCCGGACCATTTAGAAATTTTGTATTCAAGGACATAAAAACCAAATGTCCATCAATTTGTGCAAGGAAGGCCACAGTTCCCTGCCCGTCTTACAGTAAATTGACGTTTCTGTAATTTGCGTAATGTGAATAAGATTAAATTTGATATTTCAATCCAAAATCTAACAATATCCTGAGCTACATTGTCATCTTAAACAGAAATGAAAATACAAATATGTCCAAACAATTTGAAGAAATAAAAAACAGATTCAAACGGAAATATGGATCTAAACTCATTTCCACCACAAAATTTGATCCAAGCAATTTTTTTTTATTTCTCAACCCTCTGTTCAGGAATTCTGTTGAAATTTAGAACAAGAAAACAAGAAATACCTTTGGAATTGCAGTACTCGGAAGTGTGGCACTGGGGGAGTGAGGGTGAGAGTGACAGAAAGGAAAGATCAACAAGAAGAAGGGGGAAGGAACGGCTGCTCGTCATGGGTCGGGCTCACCGACCTGCTAGGCGTGGGTGTCTTACCAAAATTCTTAAATTTGTGCATGGGTGTCCATAGTAACAGGCCCAAAGGTTAAAAAGGCACGAGCTTTCGTTCATTCAGTTATGAAAAGGCTCAAGCCTTCATGGCTGATATTTGCTGCTTCTGTAGCCAAGTATTACATCTGCAAGTCAACTCAAAAGTCAAACATTTTTTATCTCCTCCTCCTGTAATTTACAAACCCAACCCATCATCCTCAACAGTCAATTAACCCCAAGAAATTTGAAAATCAAGCATGGCGGACGATGTCCGTGAGATCTTTGTGGTTTCAGCAGCTGGGCAGGGCCATCTTCAGCCTTGCAAGCAGCTCTGCAACCACCTGAACTCCCGAAACTACCAAACTACCCTCGTCGTTCCTTCCTCTCCCGCCATCCCCTCCTCCTCTTTCACCCTCCAAAACCCGCTCGCCAAAATCCTCCATCTCACAGCTTCCCCGGGCCTACCCAGACCCCGATCCGATCCGCTCCGCCACAAAGCAGCACAAGAGCTCCACGACCACCTCGCCGACCTTTCCAACGTTCCCGATATGCCCCTCCCTCTCTGCGCCATCGTAGACTTTCAAATGGGCTGGACCAAGGATGTCTTCTGGAAATTCCACGTCCCAGTGATCGGATTCTTCACATTCGGCGCGCACGCCGCCTCCATGGAGTGGGGCGCGTGGAAGGTCCGAGCCGGAGACATCCGACCCGACGAGCTCCGCCTAATTCCCGGCCTACCCGATCACATGGCTCTCACGATTTCCGACATTAAAAGAAGGCCAGCCGGTCCGCCACATGGCGGTGCGAACCGGCCACCCGGCGGAGGAGGAGGGGGTGGTCCGCCTAAACCGGGAGACCGGCCTCCGTGGGTTCCAGAGATAGAAGGCTCCGTCGCTCTGATGTTCAACACGTGTGACTTCCTGGAACGTCCGTTCATCGAGTACATGAAAACCCAGATGGGGATGCCAGTATGGGGCGTGGGCCCACTCTTGCCGGAAACGTACTGGAAGCCGTCGTATTCACTGCTCCTCCCTGACCGCCCGACGAAACCACACCACTGCCGGCAATCAAACTACACTGAAGACGACATCGCACGTTGGCTGGACTCAAAGCCCCGCGGGTCCGTGTTATACGTGGCATTCGGCAGCGAAGTGGGCCCCAGAGTAGAAGAGTATCCCCATCTGGCCAGTGCATTGGAGGAGTCGACCCGGCCGTTCATCTGGGTCATCCAATCCGGGTCGGGTGACGGGTACTACCCAGATGGGTTGAACAGCAAAGCGGGTGAGAGGGGTTTGACAATATGTGGATGGGCACCACAAGTGTTGATACTGAGCCATAAATCAACAGGTGGGTTCTTATCACACTGTGGGTGGAATTCAACTGTGGAAGCCATTGGCCGTGGGGTGCCCATTTTGGCGTGGCCCATTAGGGGTGACCAGTTTTACAATGCCAAGTTGGTGGCAAAGCATCTCAAGGTTGGCTATGGAGTTTGTGAAGATTTTACGGAAATGGTTAAGAAAGAAGACATAGTGGAAGGGATAGAGAGGTTGATGGGTGATGAAGGGGTGAAGAGACAGGCCATGGAGATAGGGAAGAGGTTCGAGGACGGGTTTCAGGCGAGCTCCGTGGCTGCATTGGATGTTTTTGTGGATTTTATTAGGCCAAAAACCAGCTCAGAAGTTTACAGAATAGTTTGATGGGTCAAGTATGGTTTTTGAAGCCTTGGAAGTTTTGATGGGGTCGTGGTATTTACTGAATCACTCATCAAAAGCTTGGAGCTTGGAGCTTCACAGTCTCAGAAAAAGAATGAAAATTCTTGCACGTATACAACAGTTGGATTGCATGACAATTGTTCTTGCATATACTCTGTTATACACAAGCCCTAGTAGTCATTCTGTCATTTTAATATTAAACATTTGGTTACATTCAAATTGCTACTTTCCATATTTCATCGTACCTCCAGAGTATCATGGTTCAGAGGCAGGTAAGTGTTCAACTTCAAGCATTGAATTCATTTCCCTATGGCTAATGCATGTCGATTATCGAAAGCCAACTAAGCTTAACCATGGTTCTTACATTCTTCCTTTAATAACGTATGCTTGTGATTTGTGTTTCTGCAGCATCTATTAATGCACCAGCCCATCTGTAAATCCAATTCCCTGCTTCCTTTTCATTGTTATAGGAAATAAATGAATCCAATTCCTTGCTTCACACTTGACATTGGCTTCTCTTGGATTTCAAGTTGAGCAGAAGGAGTTTATTATGGATGGCAATTGGTAAGGAGTTGGTGTGTTAGACTTCTTATATGGCCATATTATTTTAATCCCCATAGTTTGGGTTGTTTTTTTTCTCCACGTTGGTGTTCATAGTTTAGATTTAATCAATAGTACATCTCTCTAAGCTTGCATTTGGTATACTCTTATTTGTAATAAGTTGGAACTTCTCCAGTGAGCTGTTTCTCTCAAATTTAGAGATATTGGTATACAGTTTTTCCTTCTTAATGTATAAGTGTATCTCAGTGATTATGACGACACTACAACGAGACTCGAACACACAGAAAATTATTGTGTTGCTTTGACCAACAAGACTATAGTTGAGCTGGTCAGGCCTGTGCTGTTATCCCGCATGGTATTGGGTTCGATTCCGCGGGATACCTATGTAGCTATTTACTAGAGTTTTCTGCCTCCTAAAGATTGCGAGGTTCGACGGAGGTTTCAGTTGCGAATCCAAGTCTGCATAGCAGGTTTATGGTGAACTTCCGGGTATGCTTCACCCAAATATAAATATGAAATATTCGCCGGCAAACATGAAGATGATGATAAATGGATTTGGTTAGGGTTGGCTAGTATTAAATAGGAACATGAAATGATATGAACACAACTTATTAACATGAAGTGCCACCTCTACCGTAAATTTTATCAACATTGAGAAATCGTCAATCGGGCGGTAGGGGGGCAGTTGCCCTTCCTTCAGGGCTAAAGAATCTCTAACGATGTATCATGTTAGTTGTGTATGCTGCATTGATAGATGTCATGAAAAGCAAAAGTAAAATGGGATGATTTTGGTTTGTGATTTGGATATAACGTTACAAAATTCGAATATTACCTAAATATTTGGATTTGTTGTAAAATAGGCGGAGTATGAAAGTAACACTGAATATTAGGGTGGAATTGTATTTGCTCTTATGGTTTTACACTAATATAATTTTCTCTCTCAAATAAAGCTTTTTAACTCTCAGATTTCTCTCTCTTTTCTCGTTGGATTGGTGTGTCTCAAAGCCTAAAGATTGCCTCTATATATAGGCAGATGATATATATTCCAGAATTAGAGCATTCACTCTACAACATTGACTCATAATTGCTTCTTACTATTTGTAAATTGTGACTAAGCCTATAAGTCTTCAACCTTTCGTAAAACATGGAATTCCACTCAATGTTGCTTCTCACTCTCAACATGTGGTTCATCCTTCATTTACAATACTCCCCCTTTAATGAGGCAACCAATCAAGGGAACTTGTGGGGATCCAAGAGCAAATTCTATCAATGTAAAACTACAAGTGCAAATACAACTCTGCCTATTTTACAGGAGGATTGTATTTAAAATCTGATAATTTATTTGGTATTGTATCACCGATTTCAAATTCTAAATTGTTTACTTTGCAGTGAAGACGAAACACGAAAAAAACAGAACAGATGCAGTAAAAATATAAAAGTAGACATCAGTCAAGAGAGCAGGTAGGAGACTGAGATGGCAACCAAACAACAACAAAATAATTTTAGAAAAAGCAAAACAGTAGCATTGCGGCTAAAAATCCAATCAAAACTGACCGTATAAAAGTCAAATCAAACGGTGAAAAAAGATTGATGAAAAATAAAAAAAACCCTTGTACTGCTGCTGACAGCCTACAAGGAGAACAGGAACACCCTCATTATGTGGGAGAAAATAATGCAAGAGTGGAAAGTTTCATTTTACTCTTGCACCCTCATTGTGTTACAAAGTTTTCTCCTGACCTTCTTCTGAACAGAGGGCATTTTGTGGATTTCCAAAAATTTTACGTGAATTCCTCTTCAAAGTTGGAATCATAGCACTAGTGTTTGGTGGCTTGGTGGGACAATGAACTTTATGACCGCTTTGCTCACTGTTCATCCATTCCCGCATTCTTCTTATCTTTACTCTTTTGGGGCATCTCCATTTTCGCATGGTAGCTTGCCTCTCTCACAATTTTGTAAGCTGATCATCTTCATTCCTTCATTGCTGCATCAATGGCTGCTGCATTAAACACCATGCTGCATGATGCTTCTTCTTCGTCCTCTTACCGGTGTAGCTATCATGCATTCTTGAGTTTCAGAGGCGAAGATACTCGCAAGGGCTTCACTGATCACCTTTATAGGGCTTTGGAGCTGGCAGGAATCCACACGTTTAGAGACGATGATGAAATCGAGAGAGGAGCAGATATTGCAGCAGAGTTGAACAAAGCAATAAATGAGTCGAAAGTATCGATAATCGTCTTCTCCCAAAACTATGCTTCCTCAAGGTGGTGCTTGGACGAACTGGTGAAGATAATGGAACGTAGAAAACATGATGATGGCCATATTGTTATGCCGGTTTTCTATCATGTGGATCCATCCCATGTCAGGAACCAGAGAGAGAGCTTTGCAGAAGCATTTTCTAGACATGAAGAGCGCTTCAAGGAGGAGATGAACAAGGTGGAGAAATGGAGAAGAGCGCTTAAAGATGCTGCAGATCTGGCAGGGATGGCTTTAAAAGATAGGTAAAATTTATTCCCAAAAGTTTCTCACTACTGTACATGAACTTTAATTTGAAGGTATTAGCTTTTTCATTAATTTTGACATGTTTTGAAGATCAATTGGGGTAGTGAAGCACTTTTATGAGGAATATTTTTTTTTATAAAAAATATCCTATACTCAATTGGCATTAGGACGAGGCTTTCGTATGTTCATTTCAGCTAATGATATATTATCAAATTAATGCACTCGATCTATGAGGACAAATTAATGAACATGATCTTATTTTGGTTTCTATCCTTTGATATGATCGAAAATTCATAGGTATGAGTCGCAGTTTATCCAAGACATTGTTAAAGAGATTGGAAATAAGCTGGATCCGAAGGTATTGAATGTTGCTCCCTATGCTGTTGGAATAGATGATCGTGTGCAAGGCATAAACATGTGGTTAGAAGATGGATCAAATGCTGTTGGTGTAGCTGTGATCTATGGGATGGGAGGAATTGGAAAGACCACCATTGCCAAAGCCGCTTATAACCGCAACTTTGGAAGATTTCAAGGCAGCAGCTTTCTTGCAGATATTAGAGAAGCTGCAGAACAGCCCTATGGTTTTGTTCGCTTGCAAAGGAAACTTCTTTCGGATATCCAAAAGGGGAAAGCAAAGAAAATAGACAACATAGATGAAGGAATAATCAAGATCAAACATGCTGTATCTAACAAAAGACTTCTTATTGTTCTCGATGATGTGAACGACTTGGATCAATTTAATGCAATTCTTGGAATGAGAGAATGGTTTTATTCAGGAAGTAAAATTATCATAACAACCAGACATGAACATTTGTTAAAAGCTCATGAAGGTTGCACAATGTTTGAGGTTGAAGAATTGAATGAGTATGAATCACTTGAGCTTTTCAGTTGGCATGCCTTCGGACAACCCCAGCCTATCGAAGGCTACATAGAACTTTCGAGACCTGCAGTAGAACATTGTGGAGGGATTCCATTAGCTCTTCAAGTTCTGGGATCTTCTTTATCTGGGAAAGAAGTAGCCGTATGGCGCAGCGCATTACAGAAGTTATGTGAAATTCCTGATGTCAAGATTCAAAAAATTCTTAGAATAAGCTATGATTCTCTGCAAGATGATCATGACCAAAATATATTCCTCCATATAGCCTATTTCTTCATTGGAAAGGAGAAGGATTTTACAATTACAATACTGGACAACCTTAATTTTTACACAAGGATTGGAATTCAAAATCTAGTTGACAGATGTCTAGTAAAAATTAACAATGAAGACAACAGGTTGAACATGCATCACTTACTTAGAGACATGGGGAGGGGAATTGTTCGCGAAGAATCACCTCAAGACCCGGGAAGACGTAGTAGAGTGTGGCATAAAGATGCCTTTAATATTCTGAGAAAAATGACTGTAAGAACAACATTTCCTTTATTTCCTTTATTTTTATGTGTTGTGTGTCTTGTTACTTATTGAATGTTCTGATATTTTTAATAGGGTACAGAAATGATTAAGGGCCTCATGCTCAACCTTCCTAAGTTGATGGAAGATGAGTCTTGCAAGACATTGTTTAGTAGAAGTAACAAAAAACGATCTCATGTTGAAGATTATGATGGAAGTTTTTCAAGACGTCGTCGACTTGATTTCTTCTCTTGGAAATCCATTGCAAGTAACTTTTCCTCAACAAAATCAGCTCCTGCATCAAATGAGGTGGACTTCAAAACAGAGGCATTTGCAAGGATGAACAATCTTGAGCTTCTCCAGCTATATAATGTAAAAACCAGTGGAGGTTTTGAAGATTTTCCCAAAAACTTGGCATGGTTGTCTTGGCGAGGATTTCCTTTGAAATCACTACCATCCAATTTTTGTTTGGAAAATCTAGTTGTTCTTGACTTGCGGAATAGCAATCTGCAACATGTTTGGAATGGACACAGTGTATTGTATTAATCTCTCTCTCTCTCTCTCTCTCACACACACACACACACACACACAAATTTATGGGTCATTACATATTTTAGAAGCTTGGTATATTCATTTGCTTACTTCTCTTTGAAACAGTTTCTTCCAAGGCTGAAAACACTCAACCTCAGCCATTCACATAGCCTAACGACAACCCCTGACATGTCAGGGCTCCCTAAGCTTGAGAGATTAATTCTTAAAGATTGCATAGACTTGGTTGAGGTTAATGAGTCCATTGGAGACTTAGAGAACCTTGTTCACTTGAACCTAAGAGACTGCAAAAATCTGATGAAGCTTCCAACAAGTATTAGAAGTTTGGGATCTCTTCAGGACCTCATTCTTTCGGGTTGCTCAAAACTTGAGCTTCATTCCAACACAAATGCAACAAATCAGGTAGACTCCACGGTTGGTGCTATGAAGAAATTCAATCTGTTATCAACTAAGTTATGGCAATCGATCGAGTCGTGGATATTGCCAAGAAAAAATCTTGTATCTTTCTCATTGGCAAGTTTACCACATTCATTAGAAAGGCTAAGTCTTGCTCACTGCAATGTAGCAGAGATTCCTGGTGAACTTGGTGCCCTATCGTCATTGAAGCATTTGGATCTATCTGCAACCCCAATTCTGAACCTACCAGGAAACATGAAGGGTCTTACTATGCTCCAGACTCTACTGGTAGAAGGTTGCGCAAAGCTCCAAACGCTTCCAGAGCTCCCAGCCAGTTTAAACTCACTGGAAGCAGGTCATTGTACATCATTGAAAAAAGTAACAAATTTACCAAACATTTTCACATCAATGAGTAAAAATCTTTGGGATTGCAATGAATTAGTTGAAGTTGAAAGCTTGTTTGAAATGAAACCATTGAGAAATGTTGACATAGAAATGATTAAAAATTTGGGATTGTTCAATTTGGAATCCAACGAAACCTCTGAGGTCGAAATGATCAACTACTTGACAAATACAACCAAGAAGTGCCGCCTTCAGGTTCTCTCTCTCTCTCTCTCTCTCTCTCTCATTTATAGCTGTTATGGTTATCATTTCTATGGCCCGAGGGTTAGCTGTTCGAATAATTTGGAAACTAATTAGATTGTCATCCTTAGAGAATATGTTTTATGTTCGTAGGTTAGTAATGTAAAAAGATTAAAATTCAATAGAATACACGATTTTAATGATTGAACAATCTTCTCCAATATTGAAAACACCACTGCTAGCTTGTAATTGTTGTACATATATATATATTTACATATGCATATATGATCTGCATGGAACAGGGATTGAACGAATGCGGCATATTTAGCATCTTCCTTCATGGGAACAAGATTCCAGATTGGTTCAGCTACAAGAGCTTGTGTAACTCCGTGTTGTCGATTGTTGTACCTTCACATCTTAATCTCAAGATCCGAGGCTTAAACACATGCGTTTTATACGCACGACGCCCCGATCACAAGGATGGTCCACATGTTTTCAGTGAACACTTCGTTAAAGTGAGCAATGAGACAAAGGGTCTTATGTGGACGTACTCCCCTGTGGCAATGGGCCTTCCCAGAGAAAACCAAGACATGTTATGGCTAAGCCACTGGGTTTTCGGGGACAATGAACTGGAGAGCGGGGATGAAATACGCGTTTCAGTCAAGTCCGGTTTGTGGGCAAAGGAGTTCGGGATCCAACTTGTGCATGAAGAAGAAAATAAGGGTGAGGATGCTGGATCAAAAAGTGAAGATATAATAACACTTCCTTGGAACCAGAATGTTGATGTGCCAGTCTCAGTTTCAGCATCAATGTATGCGATGTGGAGGGGCAAATACTTTCTATGCAACCACAGGTATCGAACTCATCAAGCTCAATTCAGAAGGTGCCAGGAGAATCCAGCTTATGGTGATTTTTCATACAAGCCAGGGGCCTCCTTTCATTTGAACCGTTACTTGTTTAACCACGAGGTTGATATAGAAGAGCACAAAATGCAGTATGTTAGAAAAGCATTGACTAATTAAACCTAGGCCTTTGGCAAATAATTAATAGGCTAGATCAGTTGAATCGATATCAGACACGACAGCAAAAGCATTTGCCTCGGAAATGGATAAATAAGTATGTTCTGGACAAGCTTTAGTTCAAGTTATTTGCTGGTCTTAAATCTTCCTCGGAAATGGATCCCGAGCCTCTACATTTAGTTTTCATGTATTTACCCGCATTTTATAATATTTAAATCATTCAAATAATCTAACCGTTATGACACATGACATGTGAGTAAACTTTTAAAATTCAAATTGAAAACCAACTCCCCCTCCCCACCACTACCCACACCAACACTGCCCAAGCCACCATACAAGCTGTCCTTTTTCTGGCCACGCCTAACCCTGAGAAACTACAAATCTATCCCCCCTCGAACCATGATATAAGCAGGGTGTCAATACAAATCAAAATACCGTAAGTTATGTTTTTATTGGTCAATTGAGTACACTGAGAAGGGTGGTGAGGGGAGAGGTTGATTACTGAAATAATATACCAATCCATTTCGATCTTTCATATAATACTTTTGGTTAAAAGTGGATCGATTAGTTTTAAGGGAGTTTCACTAAAGCACCCAAAATGGGAGCTGAAATTATAAAAAAACCCAACACCCAAAACACTTTATAAACACATTCAAAACTCATCATTACACACACTCAAAATCCATTGATAAACACACCCAAAAAATATACAATAGTTGATTTTGGGGTTGTTTTTAGGTGTGTTTCTATGTTTAAATAGTGTTTGGGTTTTTTTATAAATACATGTCTAGGATTGGGTTTATTTATAAATTTGTATACCTCCTCCCAACCAACCCAACACACAAAACACCCCCCCCTCCCACCAACTTTCGTGGAGAAGGGTGTGGTTTTTTAGTTTATGTATTTGTTAATTTTAAACACTTACATGGGTGATGTGTCATGTCTTAAATGGTTAGATTATTTAAATGGTCTAAATATTATGAAATGCAGGTAAATGCACGAGAGCTAAATGTAGAGACTCACAATCCATGCTTAAACTAGCTTAACTGATTCGATCCAAAAAAAAAAGCTTAACATGTCAAGGAAAGTGTGGGTACAGTACAACACAGACAAATGGAAGTTTATGTCAATTTCAACACGCAATTGTTTTGGGTAGCTTTTTATTTGTTATATTATACTAGCCTCTTCGCACACGCTTCTGTACCTGTGATGGGCTTTTTAAGAAAAAAAAAAATAAATTTATTTTAGAATTAAAAAAGATAATGGGTGGTTGTTTTCCATATAAATATGATTCATTACTTGATTTTTCTTTTAATTTTAATTTTTTTTAATATGAAATTTTTTGAATTTACCATATTATCCTCGTTTAATTAATAATTTTAATTCTTAATGTTTGGATTAACCAACTGCATTTTCTGGTATTTTGAATGTTTCACTATTCTCTGCCTTTTGCTTTATATATATAGATTATATGTTTAGTAACTAAAAATAAATACATTATTTATCAAGTCAAGTTCAGGAATGAGGATAACAATATCATCCCCAATCCGTCTCAGATAAGGTATTTTGAAAAGTTGGGGATCCCCATAACTGTCCTCGTTCTCCCCCAAAATCTCCCCCCTGTTAGGGGCTAGGACCTGATGGGAACCTGACCCGACTTGAATTTTTGTCATTCCTACGATGGGAGGCCAATTGGAATACAAAACTACGATCAAAGGGGGTTAAATGGACCACTTTAACTTTGGACAGTAAAGTGAGATTTAACTGAAATTTCAAAGGTGCTACAGTAAATAAGCCTATAATAAAAAAGGAAACTTATATAAAGACTTGTAACTCAAATGGTTAAAAGCTTTTATTCTTATATTTGAAGTCTTAGGTTCGATTTCCCCTTCTCATTCTCTTGCTTGTAAAAATTTAAAAAAGAAAAAGAAAAAAAGAACTGAAATGAGAGGCCCAAAATAACATACCCAGCCCACCGGACGCATAACCCTGCACGCATAACCGCCCCTTCATTCACCCGTGAAAGAAAACAGAAGAACGAGCTCGCTGCTGCACTCACCTTCAAGGCTTAATTCAAGCGATTCAAGCTCCTATATTCGTGAGGTAATCTTCTTTTCATCTCTCAATTTTTTGATGTTAAAAGTAGGGGATTATTTTTTGGGTTTATGAAGTATCAATTAGGGATTTGCAATTGAGACTTATGAATTCTCAAATAGGATTTGCAATTGATTTTGGTGTTCTTGCTTATATGAATTATCAAATTGGGATTTTGATGAATTGATTAGTTGCCGACATGCTGTTTTGCTGGTTCAAGATGTGATAAAGGCCTAGTTTCTGATTTAAAATTACTGACATTTTCTGGATTTTGAAGTCAGGTTAGTTTTTGTAATGGTTCGAATTTTTTTGGTTCATGTCTCATAATTGTAGCTGGTAATTGGGCTCTTTTGTGTGGGTTTTAATTCTTACTTTTGTTAAACGTTGAAGAATAGGGGAAGAGAGCTGAGTATAAACAATTTTTCTTTCGTTTTTGAAAGAAAACTAATTTTCACGGAGAAAAATGTGGTAGTGGGTGGAAATGTTATACGTTGCTATAATAAATGTCTCGCGAAGTCCTTTTGGATGGATTTGTACGCTTGCTTTTCATCAAAGAAAAGGTTCTTGTCTCCTTATGGCTGCAGGAGTTAATTTAATTGTAATAAACTAGTTAATTTTCACTTTACTCTGATTTTTGGGGTATTTATCTTGATTATGGTCTATTATATAAAGTCTTTGTACAATTTATGCACAAAGCGCCCAGTTGCAATTTCCAAGATATGGTCATTTGTAATTATTGTGCATCTACAACAAAAGTTAACCTAATTCGGGAAGGTATTTATAGTCCTTTCAGGTTCCATGTTTCTTATTTCTTTTGTTATTTGATAGATTGCTGCTGAAGGCGTATCTTATGGCCAGCACTGGTGGAAAAAAGGAGCTTGAATGGATAGAGAGAGTGAAATCAGAGGGAGCTGTTCCACTTCTTGATGCAGAAAATTGCCGAAATGGTTGGTCTTCTCCACCTGGGGACAAGTTTATGGTTAGAGGTCCTGAGTACTTGTCAAACAGGGTTAAAGTTCCTGCTGGTGAATACCTTCTAAAGCCTCTTGGTTTTGATTGGATAAGAGGTTCTACAAAAATTGGGGAGGTCTTAAAACATCCAAACAGTCGTGTGAGAAAGGCTATTGAGGACGAGTGTCTGACAGGTGATAAGCCTTTTGTTTGGGCTTTCAATCTACAAGTTCCTAGTAAGGATAATTATAGTGCTGTAGCATATTTTACAACCAAGGAGCCTATTCCTGAGGGGTCTTTGATGGACCGGTTCTTAAAAGGTGATGATGGGTTTAGGAATTCAAGGCTTAAATTGATTGCTAACATTGTGAAGGGTCCTTGGATTGTGAGGAAAGCAGTTGGGGAGCAGGCCATATGCATAATTGGGCGTGCCCTTTCTTGTAAATATTGTGTATCAGACAATTTCTTAGAAGTAGATGTGGATATTGGATCTTCCATGGTTGCAAGTGCAATAGTTCATCTGGCATTTGGTTATATAACAACGCTGACTGTTGACCTTGCCTTTCTCATTGAGGGCCAGACTGAATCAGAGCTTCCAGAACAAATCTTAGGTGCTGTAAGATTTTCTGAACTAGACCCTGCTGTGGCTAGGGCAACTGAACCATCTTCTAGTAGGAGTGCTGGCAGTTTGCAGTCTAATCTGCCTACGCGATTATGGAAGTCAATAGGGCAGGGGTTTTCCCACATGCTTCATCCAGGTACCCAAGAAAATGGTTCTAGCTTGGGCTCAGCACATGGTAATGGGATTGGGGATCATGAAGGAAATTCAGAAGAACCTAAGAAATGGTAAGTTCTTCTGTCTAGCGGTCCCATTGAGATTTCTTTTTCCTTTTTCATTGTGAACAGTTGATCTTTGGAAGAAAGGTAGTGGGAATGCTTCCTTATGAAATAATGAACTTGAACTTGTGTCGGATTCAGATATCAAAAACTAAATATTGTATTGTGCAAAACAAAAATACTAATGACATCATTTTATTTGCTTCCATGCATTATATATATATTTTTAAACTCAGATGTATGCTTTTGAATAGATATTCATTTTGTAATTTAGAGAAAAACATGGACATTGGTCCTCTGGATCTACCAGGCTCTCTTGCCAAATTGCAAACTGGGCCTGTCTGTTGAGTAGTTGATGACAGGACGTGAAGAAACTTTCCTTTATTTTATTGTATTCAATTTTTCATGTCCATTATGGTTAATCTTACACATCCTTCTGCCGATCAAAAAATTATTAGCGCTCTTGATTGCTTTTATTTTTATGTACGTTCTGTATTTTTTTTCTTTCACATGAGTATATGTATCTGCTTCATTGATTGACCTATAAATTATATGAATACGTTATATCTGCAGAAAATCAAATGAAGTGTGATGACCATGAAACAAAGTGATTCAGAATTTTTTGAAGTGGCAAGAATCCAACTTTCTCTGTATTGACTGCTTCACTGGTGTCATCTGCTTGTCTCTGGGCTCTTGGGTATACCAATGATGCCAAGAGCTAGCTTTGCTACCCTGGTATACTCTATGCCCTTGGGTGGGCACTGATGTCCAATTGGCAAGACATTCAGATTATCGGCCTCTTAATTTATATAGGTAAAACTCTTTTTTCTTTTATTTTATTTTTAAACGAGTATATATTAAATAGTGGCCCTGTGTGTAGAAATCTATTGTATAACTTGTTAGATTCCACTTCATTGAATTTCTGTAACGATTGAACGAAAGCAATTGGTGATTATGGACCGTTTCTTCTTTTCTTTTCTTTTCTTTTCTTGTTCGGAATTATCACAAGATGATGTGCCTTCATCTTTCCAATTATTTTGGCTGGAATACAATTTTTGTTAAAATTTCAGTTATTCTCAGCTCCTGTACCGTAGCGGCATCGTGCGATTTGCAGCACTTTTTTTCCTGACTCAAATGGTTCTAAGAGTTTTAAGATTTTCTATTTTTAGTTGTGAGCAAAATGGATTCTATACGACAGCAAATGGAGTTCATCTAACAAATTTAGTCTAAATAGTGGTAGGAAAATTAGTTAAGATTAGGTTAAATCAATGTTCAAAATTTGAAATATAATGCATGCACATGAGGTTCTGTGTTGGATTCTTTCATTTCTCAATATCGCTTGTATTAGAAAAAAAAAGAAAGAAAAAAGAATAATGAATATGAAAAATAACAAGTAACGCATGCAAACTGCAAATTACATTTTTTTGACTGGCACTCAAACAACGTACGTACCACCTTCTGCGCTGGATGGATATGTATGGAAGCAGGGGCGGAGCCACCTTCTGCAGGTGCACCTCCTATCGCAAGAAAATGCGTTGGAGATGCAGGAATTTGCCCCTTTGCTTGTGCCCTCCAAGTGTTCGATTAAAAGCCTCAAAGATGCTGTTTTGTTGCTGCTGTGTGAGACCCTGAATATTTACCTTAGATTGTTGAGCTCGATCTCACGATCACGTAGGAGAAAACGGTTCATCAATTGGACCTCCACAACCAAAGTTATAGATTTTAGAAGATTTTGAAATTTTTTCACTTAAGTTGCAGACACAACCAGCCGAAGAAGAAGATGACTTGTGTTTGTAGTTAGAATCCTGTGCTTCTCAACTTGTATTCCTTTTTAATGTGGTCCACTATCAGGGCGCCATGTGTCAAATTTTAATTAGACCAAATTTAGAAATTCATTAAAAATTCATATGTTCTCCAAAAAATTCACCGAAAAATACCCCAAACTCATAATCACATCTACTTTTATCTTGTGACCTCCAAATCACATGTACTTTGGGTTAGATTAATTGGTATTGATTTTGGTTAGATTAATGGATGATTTCATATGAATTTTGATAGACTAATTGTGTAATTGACATGCATTTTGTTCATATTTGATATTAATTTTGGTAAATAATTGTGTAACATGAATTTTGTGCATTTAATTTATATAGAAAATAGATTATAGTCAATTAGGCTTAGACGTAAAAGTCTTATTTATTTTAATTATGGATAATATTAGTGTTGTTTAAATTGTAAGGCTATTTGGTTATTATTATTATTTTTTCGGATGTTTTAGCCTTTTAACATTGCCCATTCCCTGAAAAATTCCTAGATCCGCCACTGTATGGAAGGAATGTTTTCATGATTTTTTATTTAAAAAGTTCTTTTATTTCTCTTCCGTTGTTGAAGCAAGCGCAAATGGCTTCAGTCAAGATTTCCTAATCAAAACTTACTGAAATCTTAGCTTTATCCAATTTCACCACATTGCTCAACTTTCCAAAAAACAAAAAAAGCTTTTAAAATTTTTTAGAATCTATAAAACAGAATTTTCAATGGATGCTTTATTTTATTTTTTTCGAATACAAACGACATTCAACTTTAATATAAAGGTAGGGGATTCGAACTCAGTTGCAGAATCGGCTGTAGAGTGGGTATCACATTCACTTTTGCTCTCATATGCCATGTTGGAATGTTACATTGGAGAATTCCATTACCAAGTAAGAGGTTGCAAGGTGGTCCATTTTAAGCCAATTTCGCAAATTAGAAAGGGTAAACTACGATAGGTATATAAGCTCCACACCAGTGTAGAAAGTATTCAATCGCTCTCTCCTTCTTTCCCTCTCTGTGATCGCTCGCAATCAGCCAAGAACAAGAACTTAATCGCTTTAAAGTTCAAAGCTCTCAGCCAATCAACTCCCTTCTATCAGGTTTGCTTCTTCTTCTCCGTACGCGTCTTAGGATTTCGTTTCTTTATCCACCATCGATGGATTCCCAAGAAGCTATTTTTTCGACGTTCGCGTGTCTAATGAGGATGATGGTTTCGTCCGGTTTTGATGCTGGTGTAGGGTTTCAATCTTAGGTTTACTTATAGTTTTCTTTAGGAGACGCTGGAGGTTAAATTTGAAAAGAAATAAAATTCGTAATGTATTTAAGGGATTTAACATGGAAGGAAGGTTTCGCAAATCGAATTTGTCTCTTTCCGTGTGCTCGCCCATCTATTGGAATTTTGAAGCTTCTAGGGTTCATATGTGTGTATATATATATATATATAGATATATGTATATGAAGATTGGACGAAATGTTGAATTTGAGAATCTGGGGAATCAAATTAAGGGTTCTCTGCAGAAATTAGCATTTCCAGTCATTCAATTTCTTCGTGCTGCCTTAGAAATTCGAATTTTCATGGAATTGCTGATGGGACAGAGTATGGTTGATATAACGTTTCTGCTCGGGGATGTCGGAAGCTGTGTCTCTATGATTTTTCATTTTCTTCTATATTTGTGTTTATAGTATGGCCACTAAGGAAGTGAGAAGGCCCACAATGAGACCAGAAAGTTCAGTTTATACTCGACCAGTAGGAGTATCTTCAAAAACTGTTTGCGCCTATTGGATTGCTGGAAGGTGCACTAAGAAGTTCTGTAGATTCTTGCACACAGGTGCACCATCTTCACTGGCGAACCCTCACATTTCAAAGCAGAAGGCTATTCAGAAGGGCAATGCATACAATGCTACTCAGAAAAGCAATGTTGTTCAGAAGTCCCCAGAAAAGGTCTGCAAGTTTTGGGTAGTAGGAAACTGTGTTGAAGGTGATCGATGCCCGTATTTGCATACATGGTTTCGTGGAGCTGGCTTCTCAATGTTGGCGAAGCTCCAAGGGCACAAGAAGGTACTTCTGATTTCGAAAATAAATGTCTTTAATTTGTTTTGTTCTCTGTTTTCTTTCCACAAGAAACTAGAAAAGTTGAAGAGGTTAAGAGGAAAGAATCATTTTGGCTATTACTTTCTGTATTTTATCCATGTTACTTTGTAATTTGTATTATTGTTGGTGATTTTGATTTTCAAAATTATAATTCACATGCTGCCAAACTCAGTTGTTTATAGAAGATAAAACTCACATAAAGGCAGTTTGTTTTTTTGTATATCGTGATCTCCTTCAAAATTTATGTTTTCTTTTTTTCACTTTTACAGAGAATAGATAATTCTATGTTGTTTTTGTTTATTTGTGAAGTTGGACTATCATTGTTATGATGAAATGTATTTTAACAGGCCGTCACTGGGATTGCACTTCCTGAAACATCTGACAAGCTTTATTCAGCCGGTACAGATGGAACAGCCAGAGTTTGGGACTGCCGTACTGGTCAATGTGGCAGTGTGATTAATCTTGGTGGTGAAGCAGGTTCTTTAGTTAGTGATGGCCCATGGATTTTTGTTGGTGTACCAAATGTTGTTAAGGTACTTGAGCTTGTTCATTTTTAACTTCAGTGTTGTACCAAATGTTGGTTCAATATACATGCTGCTTGTTCATGATGTTGCAGGCGTGGAACATTCAGACAAACGCTGAATTCAACCTGAATGGACCTGTTGGCCAAGTGCACGCCATGGTGGTTGCTAATGAAATGCTTTTTGCCGGGGCACAGGTAATGACCATAACAGTTCTGCAAGTTCCCAATAATTGCATCGCTGGGCTTTTACGATAATCTTCATCCATTTATTAATAGTTCCATATGTCATGAATTATCTGTTGCTTTTGTGCAGGATGGTGTTATATTGGTGTGGAAAGGTTGTTCTGAAAGTAATCCATTTCAGCTGGCTGGAACTCTGAAAGGCCACACTCAAGCTGTGGTATGTTTAACTGTTGGGCGCAGTAGGCTTTACTCAGGTTCTGTGGACCAAACAATCAGGGTAAGTTTGTGGCATCTACAAACAAGTTTATCGACTTCAACAGTATAGTGTTGGCATAGTGTTTGAAACTGAATGTGATGTTTCAGAAAAAAAATAAAATAGAAAAACTTCGATTCTTAAGAACTTCTGCATTTAGTGTGTAATAGGATGATTTATTATGATCTTCCTGTTTCAGGTGTGGGACCTTGATACTTTACAGTGTATTATGACACTAAATGGGCATTCTGATGTGGTGATGTCTCTTATTTGCTGGGATCAATTCCTGCTCTCATGCTCATTGGACTGCACAATAAAGGTGTGGGTTGCCACTGAAGGAGGCAACTTGGAAGTGACCTACACTCACAATGAAGAACATGTATGCTTTCCTTTCACAAAGCCTTTTCCACTTGTTATGTTTTTTAGTTACAGTATTATGGTTAGAATATAAGGCAGTCGGTGATTTCTAGTGGACTGGGAAAACATGTAGAACATCAATTTTGTGCCATTTAATTGCTTCTCAAAATTTTGTATTCTTATATAAGATGATGTTTCAAAATGTTTTTTCTTTAATAGGGGATCTGTAGAATAATTGATTTTCTGATCCGTTTAATCTGTAGAATAATTGATTTTCTGATCCGTTTATGTCTTAGATTTGAATGTACATTGTTTTCGGGGTAAAGGCTAACCTAATTTGATGGTGCTATTGTACATTCTACAGGGTGTTCTTGCACTTAGCGGAATGCCAGATGCAGAAGCTAAGCCAATCTTGTTTTGCTCATGCAATGACGCTTCTGTTCGCCTATATGAACTGCCATCGTGAGTACATGACACTCAGATTCTTTATGCTCTGATTCTTTTTATGATCAATTCCATTCTCACTTTATTGTGTGGTTATAGATTTACTGAGAGGGGCAGACTATTTGGCAAACGAGAAGTTCGGGCAATTCAGATAGGGCCCGGGGGACTATTTTTCAGTGGTGACACAAGTGGTCTCCTGTCTGTTTGGAAATGGCTGGACCCTGACCTCAAGGAACTGTCTTCATGACTCATTTGTTCAGTTTGTAAGAGCCATTACCGTGATGGCGAGGAGGCATGGATGCTACAATTGTAACCAGTTTGTATGTAAACTTTGACAATCCTTCAGTTATTCAAACTAGTTTTGGTCATTGCGGTGTGGATTGATTTGTTTGTACAGTATAATGTACAGTGAGATTGTTAAATCCAAAAGATGATTAGTTCTTCAGAATTCAATTTCACAGAAGTATAATTCTTTTTTTGGCCTAATCACATCATATTTAGGGAGGCAAAAGGAGACTCAAACTTGGAACTAGTGGGTGTAGGACAATATTGATATGCCTTTGTTTAATTTCTCCTCTAGTTTTAGTCCAAAATGCTATATACTTAACGGTTGATTAGTTTTCGACCAAAAAAAGGGTTGATTAGTTAAATATTAGCTCTTTTCCAATTGGGTGTAAGAGCATCCACAATGGGCTCCCTAAATCACCTCTTTAGACAAATTTTAGGGAGGATTTGAAAAAATACAACTCCAACCATGCTTCATATCCACCTCCTAAAATAAGGAGACTTCTAGGAGCTCCTAAATCTGAGGAGAGAGAAATGACTACTAGTGACTTCCTATAATTTAATGCTGCTTTATTTAATGAGTATTTCAAACTTTTAATTAATGTTGATTATTTTTTATATTATTTTTTAATAGAGATGGACCAATTAAAAAAAATTTATAGCATTTATGACTCTATAAACTCAAGAGCATGATTGGAGTTTAAATTTTATAAAGAGCTCCTAAAATAACTTTATATGTTTTTAGCTAAAATTTAACTAAAAAATAGAGAGCATGATTGTGGATGCTCTAACCCAGTGAAAAATGGCATTGACTTGCAGACCAAAGTTCTCCGGTTCGAATTTCCATAGCATTATAGTTGTGTGTTTGTACTAAAAGAAAAAGAGTTCATTAGTTAATCCAGAAGAAAAAATGGTTAATTAATGTAATTGTGGTTTAAAAGTGAAACTTAATTTAATTGTGGTTTAAAGGTGAAATCAATTTAAATCGGACACACCAACACCAATTATTACCAATGGAGTGTTATGAGGATTAAATCAAATTTTTAATATGCTATTAAGTGGTCCCGAGTTCAAAACTTCATGATACATGCATGTGTGAGTTTCCACCCTCTCTTTCTTTTAAAGGAGTTTCACTAAAACACCCAAAATGAGGGTTAAAATTATAAAAAAACCTAAGCACTATTTAAACATATAAACACACCTAAAACCCATCATTACACACACTCAAAACCCATTTATAAACACACCCAAAAAGTTGATTTTAGGTGTGTTTCTATGTTTAAATAGTGCTTGAATTTTTTTATAAATACATGTCTAGGATTGAGTTTATTTATAAATTTGTATTCTTTTAACTTCGGCCAAAGGAAAACACCAATTATTAAAACCCATCCATTGATTTAAAACTTTCGGTGGAGAGTGACGCAAGCAGCTTTTGAAGAGCTCTTGGTTTGTGAACCTTTTAGAAAGTTTGATCAGTTCCTTGCCTTTATTGCTTCCAATACTCTTGGCACAACTCTCTATATATTATGCTCAATTTATGATTTTTGGGAGTTTCACCGTTAGGTCTAATATAAAAGTTCAAATTAAAAATAAAATAAAAAAATCTATATGCAATGTATTTTAAAAACATATCCAAAGTTTATTTACAATATAAGATTTCGAAACTTTTTATAAATTACAAAATTGCCATCAATTTTTTAAAATAAGCCCAATCCCAAAACCTTATAAAAAAAATCCAAATTACTCAATAGGACATCAAAGTAATTTAATAATCAAAATTAAATTTAACAGGGTCAGCTGTCATTTTTTATAATTTGTTTATAAAAATTAAAGAGTGCTGTTATTTCCACCCACCTGTCTTATTTTCCCACACACCTTATCTTCAAAATTTTAAAGACAAATTTACCCCTTTATAAAATAACTTTTAAGGACTTACGGAAAATGATTAAAAAACAAAACAATTACCTCAAACTTAAAATTAAAAAAAGTTAAAAAATTTCCAAAGCACAAGGATCAAATGTCAAATCCAAAGCACCCCTCAACCTCTTATTTTATCTTCATCCTAAAACCCTAACCCCAAAAATTTTGAGCCAAAACGATGGATTCTTCATCAGAAACTCCAGTCATCATGTACTCTTCCTATTTGTTGGAGGCCAGCAAATCCCAATGATCGACATGGCAAAAGTCTTCTCCTCCCACGGAACAAATCCCAATGTAATCAGATGCTCTTGTTGAAAATATGTTCCATTAGTTTTGTTTTGGTTGTTAAATCTCTCCAATTAGAGCAAACAATTGCTCTTTTCAATCATTAGATTAAATTTAAATGACTCACAAGTTAACAGAAAAGAGAATTTGCTTGAATTAATAATTAAATGATATTTTAAGAATAAAGGTGGGTGGAAAAATAAGATTGTGTTTTTTCAAATTTACATGATGAGTGGAAAGATAAGGTGAGTGGAAAAATATGACAGGTGAGTAGAAATAGTAGCACTCAAATTAAATGGTATAGGATTTATCTATATAATTAGTGCTAAAAATAGGTATATAATGAAGTACCTCGTGATTTTTTTTGGTTTTCAGCTAAAATCCATTCAAACCTTTTTGCTCCTCCATAAATTACTTAAAACCAGTATGAGTTTTGGGTGGGGGCAACAAAGTATCTGAAGGCTCAGAAATATATATGGTGCGGTCATTCTCTCTCACAAAAGCTGGAACTTGGCCCTTCTGTCTCACAAGAGAGAGTTGCAGTAGAAGCTTATCTCGAAGTCAGGTGACTCAGGGCTTCCTGATTTTGTCTCTATTATAAAAATTCTTTCAAGAATCTTCGATCAAGCTATAAACGCTCCAAAACAGGCCCCTACTTGATCATACATCTCAATTTTCCTTGTCTTTATTTCGTGTCACTTTTTTTTTCTTCTTATCCAACGAATTTAAATACAATATACAGGTGCTTTGATTGCTAATGTCATCTTTGGCCACTGGGGCACCCGAACGGCACCAAAAATCCATATATATATATATATAGGAACAAGAAGCATTCCAAAGAGCCCCCCAAAAAATAATGCTTGAATGAATCTCTATGGATCAAGAAGCCATACCAAAACCAAAACACTGTCGAACTCAAGCCTCT